CAGCAGGGTTCAGGGCTGCCCCAGCAGCAGGAAGCTGGGCCCAGGGGGGAAACTGAAAGCAACAGAGCCGCCTCCTGCCCGCGCCTTGGTGCTGCCGCCACGATGGAGGTGTTGCAGCTGTGGAGAGCTCCAGGCTTCTGCAGAGTTCCCCAACCACCTCGGGCACCGTGGGGGTTTTGGGTGAAGACTGAGAGCTCAGCTCCTCCTGCCCTGGCCTCTGCCGAGTGAAGCAGGGCAGGTGCCAAAACACTGATGGGGTTTTCCCGGTTCACTCCTGGCACCCATGGGGGAGGGGAGCAAGGTGGGTTTTCCCTCTCAGTGCCATCTCCTCAGGTTCCCCTCTCCTTTCCCTCGCAGGCTGACAAACGGGCTCATCACAACGCGCTGGAGCGCAAACGCAGGGACCACATCAAGGACAGCTTCCACAGCCTGCGGGACTCCGTCCCCTCCCTCCAAGGAGAGAAGGTGAGTTTATAGAGCGCAGCGGCAGCCCGGCTACGAGCCCACCCGGGGTCCCAGCTCACAGCTGGATGGGGATGTCCATGGTTCCTCACCCGCAGGTCTTGCTGACTGGTGTTCCTGGGGTCAGCCTGCTCACTGCCAGACCCTTGGCTGGTTTTTTGGGAAGGCAGAGGGGACAAATCCACCTTGTGCAGCTGGATGTTGCCGGCTCATTTTGGGATGCTGCCGTGGGGGATGTTTTGGCTGGGGCTGGTGCTCTCAACCCAAGCCAAGCACCATCAGCAGGGTCCAGAAATGTCCCTTCCCAATGGGGGACAAGAGCCTGGCTTTGGTTTGGCTGGTGACATCGGCAAAATCCTTTGTGCTGCGCCACGGGTGGGCTGGGGCGGACAAAACCCCATCGGTTCCACCCCAGGGCTAGGTCTTTATCTTGCCTCTGTCTTTTCACACTATTGCAACAGGCATCCCGGGCCCAAATCCTGGACAAAGCCACAGAGTACATCCAGTACATGCGCCGGAAAAACCACACGCACCAGCAAGACATTGACGACCTCAAACGGCAGAACGCCCTCCTGGAGCAGCAAGGTGAGCAAGAGCGGGCGTCCCACAGGACCTGGGGCTGGGGGTGATGCGTGTCAGAGCCCCAGGGAGTGACACGGTGGCCCTGCTTTGCAGTGCGTGCATTGGAGAAGGCTCGGTCAAGCGCCCAGCTTCAGGCCAACTACCCCTCGACGGACAACAGCCTCTATACCAACCCCAAGGGCAGCACCATCTCCGCTTTCGACGGCGGCTCCAACTCCAGCTCTGCTTCCGAGCCTGACGAGCCG